GCATGGTGCTACCATGATGCGAGCATGTGTGAAGCAAGTGCCAACGCTGCTTTCCTGAGAGGGAAGGCGCCAGTTCAGGACTGGCCAGAGATCAGACTGTCAGCGGCAGGCTGTGACTTAGAAACTGATCATTGTTCTGCTGTCGTGGGTTGTGTAGACCTTAGGAGGGTTTCACTGTTTGCTGTTACTGAAGATGGGGTAGAGTTCTGGATATTAAGGTGGGGTGGAACTTAGCATTTGCATTTGGAGAAGTACTGTCCTAAAGGACAACTGTATGCTTAGACACAGTTGGCACAGGAAAAAGTATGGAAACCAATAAAACTGCCTTCTACTTCCTTTGAAAAGAAAGAAGACAGGATCAGCTTCATCATACAGAGTAAGCCCAATGGAGCCTCTATAGGCATGTTGGTAGGCAGTGTCCCATACCTATAGCTCAAAAGAATCCCAGCTTAGCAAGTACGTCTCCTTTCTGTCCAGCACCTAAGGTGTGCTTGGCATTTGTATCAGCTGGCTCTTCTGAAATCAGCAGTACTGGTGACATCTCTAAGCTGTTTCCATGTCAGAACCATGTCACTATAGGAGCCATTTAGGGAGGTTGGATAAATGAATGATGAGCAGAATCATGGAGCTTTTGTCATCTCTCAGAACTGGAATTGTGGAATACAAACAGCTCTAGAGCTGCGATTTATCCCCCAGTTATTTCAAACTCAGGCAGTAGGGTATTGACTGTATTGACTATTTGTCTTTTGTTCTTTCTTCATGTCTGCCATGCATGAAACAGTGCACAACAAAATTGTGTAGCCATTGATTTTGTTGGTCAACATCCAAGCCTTATGGTTTCTTAATGTCTTTCTATAAATTTTATTTTATGTTATTATAAAAACCACTATTTTGAAAAAAATCACGAATCTCTAGTTAAAAGGTTCATGTTAAGTCCACATTATGTACAAGCATACATCTTTAATATTTCAGGCAAAAAAATGTAGTGTTTGCCCTTTAGGGTACATCGTGAACCAGAAAGCCTGAAGAATGACTTGAAGTGAGCTACTAAGTATTTTTTAGCACAATATATTTGATTTTCCAAGGTGTATGACTTTAAGCTTTAAGTGTTTTTTTGTTTTGTTTTTGTTTTTTGGTAGGCATGTTCAATGGTTGTATGTATTTGTTTTGAAACAGGATTTCACCTGGCTTCCGTGGAACTCATATATAGACCATGATTGCCTCCAACTCACAGAGCTCTACCTACTTCTGCTTCTCAACTATTGGGATTAAAAGCGTGTACTACCACACCCAGTTTTAAAGTGTAGCTCAGGTTGGCCTTGTACTCCTACCCCTGCCTCTTTGATATAGCCTACCCCCATAAGCATGTGGCACCACAACCGGCAATAATTCTTACCATTAAATTATTAAGTTTTATGAAATATTTTTCATACCTATTGAAAGTTACTTGTCAATTATTTTGGAAGCAAGTGTGCTTTAATTTCTTCTCCTTAAAATTTCTTTTATAAAAAGAGGAGATTCTGAATTAAAATTAATTAAGAACACACTTAAAACTTTACATGCCAGATGATCTGTATAACTTAATATCTGCATATTTTATAAATTGTATAGTCAATAAAATTGTAATGTATATTGATATTACTTCAAGCATAGATGTGTGATCAGATTTTTGGTTTTTTGTTTTTCATCATCTTACGAAAATTTACTGCAAGATCTTAAACATCTAAGGAAATAATGACACCTTTTTAAAAAAGAAAAAGAGTTAAGAGTAGCTGCTAACACACAGAAGAGCATTTAAATATTTCATAGAACACTTAAACAGAGGGTAGAAATCCTGAATTTCACATTCAATTTGGAAGAAAGTAGGAAAAGAAAAAGGCATAGGAGGTAAGATAACAATGCAAAATTACCCTGATAGCAGCGATTCCAAATGTGCCAATACTTAAAAATATGAATAGACTAAACTTTCTTCTTAAAACGCAGGGATTGCAAGCCGGGCGGTGGTGGCGCACACCTTTAATCCCAGTACTCGGGAGGCAGAGGCAGGCGGATGTCTGTGAGTTTGAGGCCGGGCTGGACCGACAGCCTCCAAAACAATACAGAGAAACCCTGTCTCATAAAAAACAAAACAAACAAACAAAAAACCCACAGGGATTGCTTGAGTGCATGAAAATTAAGCCCATCTATGTAATATACATACATATATATATATACACACACATATATATGTATATATATTATATATATAAGAGCAGGCAGGTTTCAAAAAGTGTCAGAGAATACTAATCCAAAGGCACAGGCACATGCAGTCATTAAATTAATGAGAGAAAAAGTGAACTTTAGCTTAGAATGTCTTATTAGATGTAGAAAAGATCATTTGAGGATGAAAGTCTTACTTTATGTGTAAAGTGTACCATTGCTAGAATGTTATGCATTTAATTACCAGCCTTGCACAGCATAAAATAAACACTAATGAGTGTGTAGGAAGATATGAAAATATGCCATCATTATAGCACTCTGGTAAGGTAAACAGGTGGCTTCAGACAAAACTTATGGGCCATGGTAGGATGTCTCACACAACCCAGAAGAGTCAGTGATGGAAACTGTGCTACTAAACTGCATGGGGAAAAATGAGACAAAGCTGGTTCTTGAAGCGAAACTGGGAAAGTAGCAAAATGTTCAAACCAGAGTTTTATTTATAAATCTAATTTTGTGCATAAGTTTGATATAACAGCCAAAATTTATTTCATAGATATTATTTAAAATATAATTAACTTGGATGGGAAGAATGAGATTGTCTGATATTGGTGTATTCCTTAAATTTATGTATAATTCATTATATCTAAATGCAATCAAGAATCTACTGCAAAAACAGAGGCACAACTGTAAGCGCAATGTTCTTCAAAGCATTGAGCCATGCCTCAAGTATACACATAGCTCTTGGAAGTGGCACCTCACATGGTTCGTCCATGTTATTCCTTAGATTAGAAATAATATGTGAAGCCAGACATGGTAGTTCTTGTCTCGTGTACTTAATCCCAGCACTTTGGGAAGCTGAAGCAGGAAGATGGTCATGAGTTCAAGACCAGCTTTGGCTACAGAGTGAAGGACAAGCCAGCCTGGACTGCACATGGAGATCCTATCTTAGAAAACCAAAAAGAAAAAGAAAATGCTGTGCATTGCTTTGCATCTTACACATTTACAGTCATGAATTTAGTGCTGGATACTGCATACCAAATAGTGTTACCACTGGTTTCTTTGTGTATACAAGATATAGTAACATGGGGTTTGGGGTGATTGACACATTCTTTCTTCTTTTAGTAAGTGATATTCATTTAATTTGTCCAAAATTGTGCCAAGCTCCAAACTAGTATCTGATTCTAGTCTGGCTTGATTGCTCTATTTTATCAAAGTGATATAAAATTGATAGGAATGGAACGTTTGCTGTGGTGATATATAAATAGTGCTCTTGATGTAATCATGTCTTTATTGTGAAGACTGTATATTTCAAGCTTGATTTTCAGAAATACTAATGGCAACTTTGTGAGCATGAGAAGGTCCAGAGACGGGAAGATATAGTGTTGGTGATTTGGAGCATCTGTAATGGAGAGGAGGGCCTTGAGAATGCCTCATTTTCTTGTGGACAAATGTCTCTCAGCCAGAGACACTTAAAACCAGTCCCCAGCTCTGTCCGTAAAGGAAAGGACAATTAAAGCGAACATGTTGCAGTGATGGATCATTCCTGAAGATAGGAGGATTTAGCGAGGTCTCATAGACCAGTCTGCCCGTGCTCTACTCTGTCCTCTCTACTGAAGGCTATCCCCTCCTTTCCCCCGTCCACAGCTCCCTCCTAGCAGCTTTGCCTTCAAACTACCGAGATACTTGAGTGCCATTCTGGTGCTTAAGGAAGGGCATCTGCTGCTAATGGCATGCCCTGTAACTTCAAGACTTTTAAAAATACTCCCAGAGCAGCGTGGCCCTGAGCCTCGCCTGGCTGCCTCGAGGGTAGGTGCAGTTAGCATTGCTTGCAGAAACACAGGGGTCCCTGGCTAAAAGCCTTTGGAGAACATGACTTGCTTCATTGAGCAATCCACCACCATTTCCTACCTACTTTCCACACTGTCAAATGGGGGTAGTTTCCTTGTTGGACTGTAAGAACTATGAGCATGAGAACAGCGCCTGAGAAAGTGCCTGCCAAATGCTCTACTCCCCGTAAAGGGGCTATCATCGGTGTTTTGTTAATTATCCGTGTCTGATTGCTCTGACCAGCAGAATCGTTTCCATGAAAAGCAAAACTGGGCTGGCTGAGCATGGCTGCCACCCGTTGGAAAGCTTATACCACATCAAAGGCCTCTATCCTTTTCTCCAATAATCTTGAGACACATACCCTCTATCTACTGTTGTTTTAAAGGTCATCTTGAATTGATTCTGCCCCGTATCATTTAAGCATATCTGTTTGCTAACCTGGATGCTCGTATCAGAATGGCTGGCATTTGCCAGGACACTTGCTTCGGTAATTTTATATTTCAGGCAAGAAAATACAAATTCTTAGAGGAAAAGTAATTTTAGTAACTAGAGACTGTAATAGCAGCTCTATTTTAATTCTCCTAGTTATTTGGTATTAATTTCCTATAAATGCATCCATATGTGCATGCTGTACAAAGATTCTATGAATAAATGCTGGCAACTATTTGATAAACTGTCTTCTCTAATTTTCTACTTCTGGGCTTACTTTCATCCATTCTGAAATAATCAGTACTTTGCTTACAGTCAAAATATTTTCATCCAACAATGCCTAGCATATATAGAGAAAAGGTCAGTTTGGAATAACAGATACTGAAAGGACACATATGCATTTGGTTTGTTTATTTCAGCAGGTAATTTAAGTTATTTTGTGGCCAGGAATCAACTGAAGTACATAAAACATGGCATAAGCCTGAGGTCCTATTTAGTGGATCTCTTCTTTGGTCTGATTTCTCTATTTTTGCTTGTGTTTTTAGGCTCAGCTATGTAAATCATGCTGAAGATCTGGCTTCCAAGCTTCTACAGTGTTCCCCAAAGAACAGGCTATCTGCACAGGCTGCCTTGAGCCACGAGTATTTCAGCGATCTGCCCCCGCGGCTATGGGAGCTGACTGATAGTGAGTAGGATGCATCTGCAGCATCCAATCAAAGCACTTTGTCATCAATGTGTAGCACAAGTATAGGCAGATGGGCTCGTTCATGCGTGCATAAGCATATACATAAGCATAAGGTTGTGTGTGTGTGTGTGTGTGTAGAGAGAGAGAGAGAGAGAGAGAGAGAGAGAGAGAGAGAGAGAGAGAGAGGTGATTGCTCAAGCCAGAACGGGGATTGTGTGTATATATATTTATTGGAGTCCTGCCATTCAATTGCGAGCTTACCAGACACAGAAAGAAAATGGATTCATTTTTTGCTATCTCTGCTCTGCAGTCTGCAGCTGCACGTCTTTGTATTTGATTATGTGTGTGTCCAAAAAATGATCTGAGCAGTCATAAAGGCAAAGGGAAATATGATTTACATATTTAGTGCTTTCCTCATACAGGGCTATTTTAACTGGCTGCAGTACACAGAGGAAAAATGATTCATTTCTGTTTGATTTTCAGAGACCATCGTGGTTGTAACAATAACCTTAAAGAGCACTGTTAGGCAGTGAGCTAAGAACAGAGCCGCCGATTGGCTAATGCACTGAGATGACATGTGAGAACTGAAGACATGTAATTCATTGTAACTACACATGCTCTTGGTATTTGTGCAGACAGCTCTTCTCTAGATCTTTTCAAAACAAAACACATTCCTGGGTGGCTTTTTGTTTTGTTTTTACAAAAGTGCTCATATTTGCACAGGCTTTTTCAATTACATTTAAAGTATTTGGGGAAGGATTTATGGCTGGGTGGATCTCAGCTTTCTTCCCAAGTGTGAAACAGAATTCTTGTGAAATTTTGAAAAGCACTGTGGCAGCAATAGGAATATTTTTATTCAGCGGGTGATATGTTTTTTTCAAAGACCCATTAGAGATATTTCTTAACATAGTTTCCTGATTGCCTTAAAAATAACATACAGCATAGATGCATAAATATTTATAATACACTTATTAATTCTTGCACATACAGCACTTATAGTAGACATGAGGTTACTTTCTTTGTCACTAGGGGTTTTTACTGCCCCTGCAGTATTGGATTCTCCATAGCAAACAGTCACAGTCACCCTTTATTTTGGAATTAAATCCTAAGTAACAACCCCCTTGAGCCTTCTTAATCTAAATTATATATCTCAACATAATATATATGCATGTATACTATACATATATGTATCTATCTCACATTTATTCCTATCCATGTCTGTGTTGCCCTGAGGTAACTATGGATGTAGTGGCCTGATGCTCTCCTTATGCTTACAAATCTTCATTAGTACTTCTGTTGTTCCCATACTGATTTCCTTTATCAGCCATCTTACTTCCCTCCTAAAGATCTACCGTTTATTGTAACAGTGATCCCAAACCTTAAAAGACAATTCAAGGTTAAAACCTATGAAAAAAGACCACAGAGTAATGAATAGATCTTGCATGTCCCTATGCTGGGAAGGAAACAAGGTACAATGGGATCATTGGTTTACAGCTGCCTGAACTTCAGAACTGAGCGTTCTTTTCCCCCATGCAGTACAACCTCCACCTTGATCTCACCCCTCCTTGGAGACATCTCAATCCCAGCCAACTTGATGATTGAGTTTAAGCCAGATTTTGAGGGTCTGTGGATTCTGAATTCTGTGGTAGTACTTTCCTGTTAATAGGGACTTATTACCCACTTGCCACTTAGTTTATCAGCCAGTGGTTAAATCCAGTTTCTGTAAGGGAGTAAATGCCTACACATTATCACCGAGCAGCAGACTGCCAGCCGAGACAGCCTTGTCCCCATCATTAACAAGTACAATGTATGCAGAACACCAGAGGGGAATTAAAACCACAAAAAATACCTCAGGGTGGTATTTTTAATATGAGAATTTAATTTGTAATTTCACAGATTAAGAATTTTGGCTGCATTAATCCCTTTATCAGCTCACAGCAGGCCATTTGCAGAAGCATAACCATAAGGCGATATTCATTGGCAGAAACACGTCTCTGCATAACGTTAGACATCAGGAGCAGTGAAACCTTTTGAAGGGGGGAGAATAAAGATGAAAAATCATTATATTTTTAAAGCGAGATTCTACTAAATGCCTCCGGTAACAATTTTGAGTTACAGAAATGCTGTTTCTGTGTCTAGAAGATAATCATTATGAAGGATAAATCTATTCGCAAGAAAGGACAATCCCAGTATTAAGTACTATAGTCATTTCCATTTAGAACAACGTGGCTGCCCTTGTAAACATGTTTACAAAACAAAGAATCCCCAGACTTATGTGACTTTGGGAATTAGGCTTGTGTGACTCTTGTCTGAGTTAGTATTCAGCTGACTGTACTCAGAAATTCTTGACATTCTTCAAATTAAACTTCAGATTAGTGTAGATTTTTGTAAAGCACACTGTCTAACAAATGGCAGAATTTGTGACAGCAACAGACCCCCTCGTGTTTTCCCTTTCAAGGGAGTTTGGGGGAGGATGGGCCTGTCAAGAAGTACTACAGAACCAACAAATTGATGTGACCACAGGTGGTTGTGCAGGTTCACCAATTCCAGGAGCCTAGCTGTCTTGGTCAACTCACATGGTCATCAGGAAATAGCATAGGGTGGGAGACTGAGACCATAGATGTTTATTGTCACAGTTCCCAGGGATGGACAGTTGAAGATGAAGATGCTGGCTGATTCTCTTCCTTGAAAGGGCTGTCTTCACGGCTGTCAGAGATCCAGCCTGCTTGGGCCTTACAGGGTAGAGAGAACGTTTCTCTGTTCTTCTTATAAAGCTACTAATCCCATCATGAGGACCACCCTCTTCCTGAGGTCATCCAAGCTTCATCACCTCCCAAAGGTCCCATTCCCAGACACCAACACAGTGGGGCTGGGCATTAACGTCAACTTGGAAGAGGACACAATTAATGCTACAAAGATCTTAGTCTCTGATGACTCATAGCAATTTTCAGAAGCATGTCTACAAAACAAACAAACAAGGCAGAAAGTGAAAAGTGAAACAAGTTAAAAGGGGAATATTGGTCTCCAGCCTTGACCTCCATTGATTAATCAGACCCTGTGGTTGTACACCCACATAGGTGTGAGAATCAATGTCAGTGGATCTGGTTGGGCCTCATAGGGAAGTGACCACCAGCGAGCAGATAATAGGCCTGATAAGGCTGATCTGGATTCACCAGGAACAGGTGTAGGAAGTGTCCAAGGCAAAGTGTGTTATGGATGGCCAAGCCCTGATGGTGGTGTAAGCTCAGCTGGCTTCTCAAAACGGTCACTGAAGAATTAGAACATTTGTTGTAGTCACCCAATGAGAAAATTTAGAAGTGAAGTATTAATGCCACCAAAGTAGGAAATAGAATAAACACATCAAGAAAAGTAATTGTACAGTTGCCTAGGGATCTGCCTGATAGTTAAAGCTGACCAAGGATGGTGACAGTGTCACTTTCCTCCTGTCCCCAAACCCCAGCAGCCTTGCTCTACTTCTTCACAAAGATTTAATTGCAGGGAAATAAATAGAAGGTTGATGTAGAAGAAATTCATTACTTTCCTGAAGCACACCACAGGGCATTCTCCTGTGTATACTATCAAGTTACATAAATAATTGAAGCTGAACTATCCTTGTCAAAGTAAATGAACAAAATATACTTCACAGCACAGAGTCCTTGATTTTATTGCATTCATTTGCTAATTCATAAAACTCAAATCTCCTAAAAGAAGGCCAGCAAATTGGTCCAGTGTGGAGGTCTGTGAGCTCGGCCTCAGACACCCTGACTGGAAGCTCAGCTCCACAGATCCTGGCCAGGCAACTGTGGATGTGGGCCTTCATCCTTCTCTGCTTCCAAATCTCATTCAGAGAGCAAGCTGAGGAAGGACCCTTCCAGACCTAATGTTTGTAGCTTTACCCTCATGATCCTCTGTAATACCTAACGCCACCATGCTATTATACAGAGCCATGTCATCTTTTTATGAATGTAGCAAGCACACCGGTTTTTATTTCATTAATTAATGAATGTATGTATTTTGAGACAGGGTTTCACTGTGTAGACTAGACTGACCTTGAACTCCCTGAGCACCCTGCCTGCCTCTGCCCTCCTAGTGCTGGAACGAAGCTCTCACATCACCTTGCTGGCCAGTGCACCTAGTTTAAACACTTTGCTCTTTCCTCTTCCCGTTGAGTCCTGACTGTTTCCCACCTAGGCAGCAGGACCTCTTAGAGTCAGCACCTGTTCCCAGCTCTCACCTTCTCTGTCACCTTCTCTGTCAGTGGCCACCTCTTCCTCGATGACACACCCTTCACTTGGATCCCTGGCAAGGCTCTTTCCTTTTCCTCTCCTAGAACTTCCCCTGTGAACTCTTCTTGCCTGGCAGGCTGGCAGGCTAAGGTCCATCCTCCTTAGACCTTCCTATGTGGCTCACTCCCAGAGCTGGGTAATCCCATCCAGTCAACACTGAAAGCTCCTAAGCGCCCCATCCCGAGTCCTAGCTCCCCTGCCTCTCAAAGTCAGCTGACGGTTAGCTTCTCCACTTAGCCGTCTACTAGACTCTGAAAAGTGAGGCTTACTAGGGTCAAACTTGCAAGCTTTTTACCCCAGCTTGTGCCTTCTGAATTCCTAGTCTTGAGAACAAATGGCAACAGCATTTTTCTGGGTGATGGAGGGGATCTCTGCTTCCTCTGCTCTTGTCACACACTTCCACAGACTCACACCAGCTTTCAATTCGCTCATCACTCAGGGGAGTTACCTGCCACTCCCCCCTACCGCATGCTCACAATAGCAGCCTGGCTGGCTTGGCCTCTTCTCTTGCCTCCCTGGAGTCCGCTCTGGCTTTTCCTCTTTGCGGGATTTTGTGCCTGCTTTCCCTCCAGGGTTACTGGCCCTCTCTCCCTCACGTGGCCGCTCAGATGTCACTTCTCTATCAGGGACAGCTCTGACCATCTTCTCTCCAGCCTCCATTTTTCCTTCTTTGTAACAGTTACCATTGTTTATTCGATTTATTTGGTTATTTATTTTTGTCTCTCCCAGTCAGAAGGTCTCAAGGCAAGCATTCCCTTCTATTCTGATGTACTTGATACAGGATTCTGCAATTTCCAGGAAATGTCAAAGTAGAAAACCACTTCCCTCAAGAGTGACTGAAAGAATGGCAAAGGCTTATCTCCAAATCCAAGTTTAGTTTCCTAAGGTCACAGAAATGGGAGCTGTGTTTCCACTTCATGCAAATGTGTATGTGTGTACATGTGTGCGTGTGGAAATGTAAATAGCTGTGTGTGTGTATTGTTGACCACTTGACATTTCAAACACCACCACAGACCGCAGTGCTCCCCATGCTGGATGTCCAGACTGCATTGCAATCCTCGTTTTCTGTTTAAATAAAATGTTGTCCATGTGTGTATAGATATGTCAATAGAAACTTTTTGGTCTCTCCTCAGTGTCTTCTATTTTTACCGTCCAAAATGTGAGATTGCAACCTGAAGCTGGAGAGAGTATGAGGGCCTTTGGAAAAAACAATAGTTATGGCAAAAGTCTATCAAACAGCAAGCACTGACAAGCCTGGCATTCTCAGGAGCACAGGTAAGAGACCCTGCTTTATTGGAAAGTAGTATTCACAACAGACATGGAATAGACCTATTCCCTTGAAACTGCCTTCCTTATGAGTCCCGAGGGCTATTTTGGCATTCATCGAGCATTCGACTGAGGCAGAGACCAGTGTTTTCAGGTACCCCCTAGGCTCTAAGCCACATCCAAACCATTGAGTCACAAGCATCTATCTTGACTGCTCTTGAATTCATCATTGGAGTTAGGAAAGTTCCACTCTGAGTCACACCTAAACCACAAAGCTGTTTTGTGTGACCAATACAATTTGTTTTTTAATTATTTACTGACATTTTAAAATTAGGATAGTTCGTATAGAAGTCTACATTTCCAGCTTTTCATAAAGAATGTTCAGTCCCCATTTTAAGATAAGCTGGCCACTGAGCCTTCCTTGGTTTCTGATTCCTGCCTGGCTCCTGGGACAGACCTATCATGGTAAAACGTTGGGTTTCAGAATTTAGATCTTTGACCTCTACTGTTTTGCACATAGGAACTGTAAACTACATTGGTGATGCTCAGGCATGTCAGCCTATCAGGTCATCACGCATGCCCAGTGACAAGTGTACAACAGCAGTGTCTGAAGGACTGTCTTCTGGGTTACCAGAAAGCAATGTCTGGTTTTTTTGTAACATCTCACTTTTTTGCTTGTTTGTTTGTTTATTCAAGTAAGGGATTCTGTGTAGCTCTGGCTGTCCTGGAACTCCCTCTGTAGACCAGGCTGGCCTCAAACTCAGAGATCTGCCTGCCTCTGCCTTCTGAGTTCGGATTAAAGGCGTGGCCACCACTCCCCACCTCTCACTCCTAAGCAAATAGAGAATGAACTTCGCTTGTGAGAAAGCCTTTTTTCATGTGGGTCCCTGTAAAACATGTTCATCACTTCTCTGTGTTCCATAACTAAGGGTTGAATGAAGTGAACTGACTGATGTGTATGGTGTGTGTGTGCATGTGTGTGTTTGTGTCTGTGTCTGTATGGAGCAGAGTGGGGAGGGTAGGCCTCCCTCAACCTCTGACCCCTGTCCACCTATTTTTTGAGGCAGGGTCTTCCATTGAGCTGGAATTCTCTGATTCAGGTAGACTAACTGTCCAGCCAGCCTCAGGAATCCTCCTGTCTCTGCCTCCCTGGTATTAAGATTACAAGTATGCCATACTTGGCTTTTTTTCTTTTTCATGTGTTCTGGTGGGGGATGGTCTGGTTTTCTCCTATTTGGAAATATGGTAAGAAGCTAAATGGACAGATGGCAAAGACCGCAAATTCAAACGCGCACCCAGCCCTGTGAAAGACCTGCCAGGATCTTCAGCAATTTCAGAACTTAGCTTTTCAAGCTCTCAGCATGAAATTTAATTTTGCTGGCCCCGGATGCGGTAGAGATTTATGCTGATTTGGAAGGGGGGGAAGATTCCAGGTTAAAATATAGCTTGTAAAGGCTGATTGGGGGCTACAGCTCTTGGACTTACATCTCCACAGAAGAGAGCACAGCTCTTCCTTCAGGATATTGGATGTGTGGTTACCTGGAAGGAACTTCACTCAGTGGTATCTGGGACCCACTCTGAGGAGCAATTGGACAGATAGACTGAGATGATGACTCTAATCAGTTTCTGGCCAGTAACCTCATATTTCTGAGAACAGTTTGATTCCTGAGAGTTGTACATAGCATGCACATTTTAAAAGCAGTTAGTTCCCACGCTACATACTCAGCGGCTGATCCCGTAGAATGAGAACAAAACTTGAGCTCTATTTCATTGATTCCGGCACACAAACAAGCCTGAATTTCCATCACTGGACCATATGTGTCCTTTCTTGTTGACTCTTCTGAGTGCTCCTGATCTACATAGCCAAAGCTGCAATAGTGTGTTTAAGATCAACTCATTCTTGTAAAATCAAAGGGAGCTGACTGAGCAAAACATTGCCTAGAAAGATTCAAAACTTGCTGGCTGAAAAAAGATTTCCAAAGGTGCTTGGGACGCAGCCCATGGTGCTAATAAAGCTTGCAGTATACTTCCTTGCACGGGATCCAGGGCTGGATCCACAGGGGATGATTCTTCTGCAAGTGTTTGATAACAATACAAATTGTTTCTCTACGAGTGTTGTCCTTGTCACATCAACTTTGAAGGCTTCGATGTTACCATTACTCCAGCTATCATGACTCATTCAGTAGGCCACTAATGAAAGATCTCAACTGTTTTCAGCAAAGCTGTGGGGAATCTGCATCCTAACATATTTCTGCCAGTAGAAAGAGAAATCATCTTAGTTTCTTACTTTTGAAAATCTAACTGCCAAATGTCTCCATGCTAGAGATCAAAGAGTATAGCCTGTTTATTGGTCCACTACAACAGATGGCATGGTTTCTTTCTGACCAGCAAATGAGTTTCAAACTAGAGACTAGTCATGTTAATAAGTGATGCTTAGGGAAAGAATATACAATCCTCTAGTCTTTTATTTTCTGATTTTTTTAAAATTTATTCATCGCCTCTTTAGAGTAGTCTGTGGCATATTAGATTTCACTGGAATATCTTATTTTTATAGCACCCATAGTGACTGGGAAGGGGAAAGAGGGAAGAGCCTTGGGGCTGAGGGAGCCTGAGGACAGGCTAGAGTTTTAGCCACTTCCCTCTGTTGATCTGCAGGCTCTCTGTGTGGAGCCTGCATTGTGTCATGCTGATTTTGAAATGAAAGGGGACTGGGCAGGCAGGAGTGCTTCAAGTCCTAATATTTCTCCTATACCTCAATGCCACATTATTTCTTTCCTTGCAAACCAAGGTCACTCCAATTATTTAGTTAATAATGCTGGATTTGCATAAATTGGCCTTAGTGGAAAAGCTAATGAGATGCATTTTGCATTCCAGAAGAAAGCAATGTGGGTTTTAGAGACTTGTAGCAAAATTAAACAAAAAGAAAACTACAACTGCCTTGGTTAAGAGTAGGCATAGCTGTCGTGGGTGATGGAAGTACTGAGTCCCCTACACTTTATTACTCTCTGGAGAAACCCTTACACTGTTTCATAGCTTGTTCCCATCCATTTGGTCAACTGAAGAGTGTACAGAGAAAATTTTCTTTAGGGAGAATACTGGTGGCGATATTGAATACTCACATCCATTGTTAACATGTATTTGTGTAAGGTGATAGCAGCCATAGCCTGAGCTAGGCTGAATTTTTCAGTCATTCTAGATTGTCATTGAAAGTGCTGGTCACTGTCTACTTTTATAAAATATAGGGATAAGTCATCCCTTTTCAGGTAATCAGTTGGACTTTAGACTCCATTAAACTCATTGTAAACTTACAAATACTTTGTCTAGTGAATGAAGTAATACTGTTTGATTCAATTGCAAGAGGTTAACTCTGCAAACACTGGTTATCTTCTTCAGTTCCAGCATATTCTTAGTCCGCATTATTTAAGAATTACACGGCAGTGAAACAGTGGTTACTCATGCTTAGTTTACCTCAGTCAGTAAACAGTTATTTCCTAAAACTGATCTGTTAGGCAAAGAGACTAGAGTTAATTGCTCAAGAAGCGTTGATTGAGTAGGATCAGGGACTTTGCTTTCTTTGGTATTTTGTGTGTTTGCCATATTCTTTCCATGACCCAGTGTGCTGGTGTCACACTCTCTGAAAATAGGCATTGCACATTCTGGGATTCCAAAAGCTTGCAGACTTTCAACTCAATTTCTAGGGCCCATGAATCTGTATTTTAACAATCTCCAGGGGTCATTAATTGATAACTGAGAGAGGGAGAATCAGTTTTCCCCTGGGATGATCCCCCTAATTGGTTATATAATACCTTGGGATCGCCCCTAAACACGTATACATAGGAGCAAAACTAAATGGACTCAGTAGTGTTGTGCAATGTTTGACTCTTGATTTTTTTGAGGGGACCACCACCCAGCTCCCAAATAGATCGCACACAGAGTCTTGTTATTACTTATGAGTACCCAGCCTTAGTTTGGCTAGTTGCTAGCCAGCTTTTCTTAAATTAACCCGTCTATCTTTGCCCTCTAGGCTTTTATCTGTTTTAACTTCTGTCTATCTCACTTTCCTTCTTACTCTGTTGCTGGGTGGCTGCATGGCTTGGTGACTGCATGGCTGAGTGGCTGGGTGGCTGGGTGGCTGAGTGGCTGGGTGGCTGGGTGGCTGGGTGGCTGGGTGGCTGAGTGGCTGGGTGGCTGAGTGGCTGAGTGGCTGGGTGGCTGGGTGGCTGGGTGGCTGAGTGGCTGAGTGGCTGGGTGGCTGGGTGGCTGGGTGGCTGGGTGGCTGGGTGACTGCATGGCTGAGTGGCTGGGTGGCTGGGTGGCTGAGTGGCTGGGTGGCTGGGTGGCTGGGTGGCTGGGTGGCTGAGTGGCTGAGTGGCTGGGTGGCTGCATGGCTGGGTGGCTGGGTGGCTGCATGTCTGGGTGACTGGGTGGACTGGGTGACTGGGTGGCTGGCTGACTGGGTGGCTGGGTGGCTGGGTGGCTGGCTGACTGGGTGGCTGGGTGGCTGGGTGGCTGGGTGGCTGGGTGGCTGACCGCTGACATCCTCCTCCTGTCCTTGTTTTCTTGCTCCTCTCTTCCTTGTTTCTCCTTTTATTTGTATTCACTGCCTGCCAGCCCCACCCATCCTTGCTCCTGCCTCACTATTGGCCATTCAGCTCTTTATTAGGACCTACCTGTGTTTTATGCAGGCACAGTAATACAGCTTCACAGAGTTAAACAAAAGCAGCATAAACAAAAGTCACACACAGTGACTTTATGTATTTATTGGGTGGTGTGGGTATGTGTGCGTGCGTGCGTGTGTGCGTACATGTGGTACTTGTGTGTGTGTGTGTGTGTGTGTGTGTGTGTGTGTTTAAGTAACAATAATTGGCAGAGCAGGGTACTGGAGGGGTTGAAGAAACTAAAAGGAGAGATGAAATGACCTAACTACAGTACTTATACATGAAATTATTGAAAACATTTAAGAACTTGAGGAGGTCACAGGTAGTGAAGTATTCACTAGATTTTCAGGA